TGGCCAATCTCGCCAGTGTTAAATGCCATCTATAGAACATTTTGTATTGATTTTCCCTATATGCAGTTGACAGTGTCAGTTTGCAATTTATGTTCCATAATCTTTCCCATTCTTCCAGTTTATATTTCGGCCCACATTTCTCGCCCATGCGATCATTGGCCCTTTCACTATTTCTTCCTCCATTCTACCTCTAATAAATATCTGTAGCTTTTTGTTATAAATTTTCCTTCCTTAACTTTAAAATTTTATCCAATTGATGTGGGGTCTGGGTTATTCCATGCTCTTCCATATCCTTACTATGTTAGATTGGATCTGTAAATATGGCCACCAATCTATGATTATTCCTTGTTCTTCTAATTTTTCTCTTGATTTAAGGTTTCCTTGGCTGTCTAATAGTTCTTTGTACCCAATCATCTTTTTCTTATCCAAGGTGTTAGGGTGGATCATCGCCTCCATCGGTGAAATCCAATTTGGAATTTTCCTATAATGTCTTTTTTTGGCTTTTTCCCACGTCCGAATCAACGCATCTCTTATCTGATGTTGATAAAAGTATGTGTATGTTTTCCTATGTTTCCCCCATAAAAAGGCATGCCAGCCAGCCTGTAAATCATGCCCTTCAATCGTTAAAACTCTTTTATTGTCTAGGTTTATCCAATCTTTGATCCAGAGTAGTCCAGCTGCTTGATAATAACTTTCCCATTTTGGGAGTCCAAGTCCACCTCTACTTCTACTATCTTGTAATATTTTCGTGTTTATCTGTGCTTTTTTGCCCGTCCAGATAAATTTATTTATTATTTTATCTAATTCTTCAAAAGAAAGTTTCTCTAATTTTATCGGGACTGTTTGGAACAAATATAATAATCTTGGTAATGTATTCATTTTAATCAACATAATCCTACCTAATAAGGATAATTGTAATTTCCCCCAGGTCTCCAAATCTTTCTTCATCTGTAATATCAATTTTTTATAGTTATCTTCTTTTATTGAGGAGCACCTTGTGGTAAGCCAGATTCCTAAATACTTGATCTTTTTTATAATTTGCAATTCCAGATTCTCTTCTAATTTCCTTTTCTGTTTTTCGGTTAGGTTTTTGACTAACATTTTGGTCTTTTCTCTATTAATTTTTAATCCTGCCACTATTCCATATTTTTCTATTTCTTTCATCAAAATCTTTCCTTTCTCTATTGGTTCCTCAATAAAAAAGACCAAGTCATACGTAAATGCTTGTGTCTTATACTCTTCTGTCTTAACCAGTACCCCTTTTATCTCCTTATTGGCTCTATCAGAGACTTCTTTATGCAGCCATGCTGGTTTCTTTGGAGAGCTGTTATTTTTCTTCTTCATTGGTATTGTGCTAGACTGGGCTTTTAGTATCTCACTTTTCAAAATTTCCCAAGTTTTTTGACAGAATGCTCTACAATCTGCTCTATAATGATCTCCATGTGGGCCACTTGATTTAACATATTTATCATGTCTGATACTATATTTCATCCATACTGCCACATGTGAATCAGTTTAATATTATAAAATTATCAAGGGTGCATTCTACTACAGATAACGAGGTATAAGAAATAGTTATTTAAAATATAGCTTGTATTGTATTTTGTAGGTCTAAGGAAATGAATGACAAAAGCCCTTTTTAACCAGCATGTGGATGTCAGTAATCATGGATCATTCTCTTTAATAACTCTACATGAAACTTGTTCTGGAAAATATATGTGCTCTGGATTGTCTTCAGTTGTTCACAATGGATTTTGAAGATAAAAGCCTACTTTCTAAAACTTATATTTTAATAAACATTATTATTGGTAAAAAAGATAAAGCAGTCTTCAACAAATATATAAGCCACTTTTAAGCATCATAATTTAACATGATACTGGTAATCCTTGAGTTATGAATGTAATAGAGCTTGCTGATTACATTTATAATCTGAGAATTTGTTAATTGGATCACATTAAATGAATTTGATCCCTCCCTGCTTTCCCCAATGCATTCACTAATTGAATGCACAGATTGTTAAGTGCACATGAGGTATCTCAGGATGGGGAAGACCATGAGGGGGCCTAGTATGGAACAGACCACCTGTTTGAACCACCCAAGTCCTACCCCACCCACTGAGATATTTTATGGTCAGCTTACAATCCTTTGAGGTCCCCATAATTGCTTCCCTCTCTCATCCTGCCCCCAGGGTCTCCACAAGCACTGGGCCTACTTTGCTAGCCCCCCCAGATTCCATTTGCTTCTCCCCACCCCATTATGACCACTCGCTTATCTTTTGAAGATCCAGAGTTCCAGAACAGTCTGACTGCTCCTTTTCTCTCCTCGAACAAGCTATCTCTTCTCCAGCTTTCTGCTGTGGGATTTGCATGGCAGTAGTTTTTTTGCCTGCTCCCAGCACTCCAGTGGAGCCATGAGAGCAGAGGCAGAGCAGGATGAGTGTGCCCTCCTCAGCTTAGCTGACTCATGAGGCTGCCTGTGCCAGACATCCAATCTGCTTTTGGAGCACCAGGCAGCCTTGGTGAGTCTGAAGAAGTGCAAGACCATGTCCCCGAAGGCTTCCATCCCCTTGAAAAACGCTTTTGGCATGGAGGACTTAGGCCTAAAGGAGACTGAGCCCCCCAAAGTCTTCTGTTCTCCATGCCAAAAGCTTTAGCCAAGGGGCGGAAGCCTGAAGCAATGCAAGATCCCGCTTTGCCTCTGCTCTGCCTCTTACCACTTACCACTCTGTTTTTGGAGCGCTAGGAGCAGGCAAAGAAACAGTGCTGCCATGCAAACTCTGCAGCATAGAAGCTGGAGAGGGGAAAGCTCACTTGAGAGAAAACTAGTGGACAGCCTGTTCTGGAACTCTGGATCTTCGAAAGGTATGTGAGCAGTCAGTAAGAGGGTGGGATGGAGTCAGTGGGCTAGTATAGGTCCCTGTTAGGTCCCGGGGGGGTGGGGATAGGCAGGGGGAATATTGCAGTGTCTCTATGGTTGGTTGTAATGGTGAACAACTGCCGTGGTGCTGAAATATTCATAACTTCAGAACTGCGTTGTAAGCACTTTTGGAGGATGGTGTCATAACTTTGAACCATCACTAAATGAACTGTCATAACTCGATGACTACCTGTACTCATTTTTCAAAATGTACCTAAAGTCAATAATGTACACCTTTTATGTGTAGATTCTTAACCAAAATATTTGATTGAGAATTACCAATCATCAGCCCTTCGTGAAGTAGTGACAATAGAACTTAAAAAGATATTTTACCATAAAGCAGTTTCAAATTTATTACACAAATAAAACTTATTTGCAAAAATGATTTTCATTTTTTATTGTCAAAACCTATTGTTGTGGGAAAATCCAGTGAAAGAAACAAGAGATAGCAACACAAAACAATACTTCTTACATTAAGATTCAGAGGTGTATTTCATTAACAATTTGACCACATACAGATGGTCATTATCTTGCAATATTAAGAAACTAGTTCCTTGTTCTTTCTTGTTGACCATCAATTTCCATACATACCTGTGTACATCTGAAATCACCATCCATATGCTATTATCAGTTCTCTATTTCACACAGTTCTAACCTTCTTGTTCCAAATATACTTAGGAAACTGTCTACTTTGCAAAATCATATTACACAAAAAGCAGTTGCATAACAAATTACAAATAGTTCTTTCATATTGTGAAAACACTCCACTTTGTTTCATATCTTCTTCATAAGGCCTGTTTTGATTTACCTAGGCCCAATTATACATAAAGAATCAATAGGCCATATTCTCACTTCTCACACTATGTAAATTCTCACAGATATTAGCTAAGATGAATAGATGTCCTGATGCTGATTGAGTTCAATGGTTTCATCAAGGCTTATGCCTACAAAGTTTTTTCAGAAGTACAACACTATTATTCACAATGAATAATATTGTCATGTGTAATAATTTACATTTTTGTATATATCATTTAAATAGCCTTTTTTTTGCTAGTTCCTGGCAATAAATTTCAATGTATCAAAGCTATAGCCCAAAGTCCTTCTCACATTGAATACTGGAAGTTATTCTTGCAAGACTAAACTAGAACTTACTTTATCCCTGCTGCAATAAATGATCCTGCTTTTCACTTTTCTAAACATATATTCAGTCATATATTGAGGGTCCTGCCACAGAGAGTCTTCTAATTTCTCATGGTGATGCCATAGCTATGATGATGAGATATTGTTGGCTAGTCAGAGAGCATTATAAGAAGGGACTAATTTTCTTCTGAAAGTTGTTAAAGGACTTCTTTTTCATGATGCTTCTTCAGTTTTTCTGCATGATAAAAAAATGGACAAAACTGAGGTTCTGGATGGATTCTTTGGACATGAAAAGTGTAAAGAATAAGAAAGTCCCTGAAGAAAACTTCCAGTTGCTGATCATGGGCAAAGTGTAGAAGGATTTCTGCAGAGAGGGAAAGAGTTTGTGATATCAAGCATATGTTATTATGCAAATTCTTATAGAAACCATTTATTTCACATGTACAATAATCTCCTGACCTATGTGACATAAGTTGTTTATTGTCAGATATCAGTTTTGTGGCTTTATGATGTGTGGATGGAGCTAAAGGAAAAGAAATGTAGAAAAGTTCATATTAAAGCTGATCCTAGCCCTATAAAATAAAGTACTATGTTTATTGTATCAGCTACAGTCATAGAATCTTGCAATTCTACATGTGTTTCCCTCTCCCTCTCTTCATCTTCATGTGAATTAGGAAGGGGCTTGTCTGAGACATTACTTCAAGTTATTTTCTGGGCCTAGTCTCAGGCTCCTCTTATCTGACAGCTGCCTTGGTAATGGCTCTCTTCTTGTCCTCCAAGGCCATTCCCTCTTCCCTCTACAGGTTCTGGAGGAAATAAACACTGTTTACACCAGTGTTTCTCAACCTTGACCATTTTAAGGCAAGTGGACTTCAACTCCCAGAATTCCACAGCCAGCAATGCTGGCTGTGGAATTCTGGGAGTTGAAGTCCACATGCCTTAAAATGGTCATGGTTGAGAAACACTGGTTTACACTAAACAAACGATTTTTTAACTCAGTTCAAATCATATGAAACAGATAATACACATATGGTTTTCTTCAGAGAAGGTAGATGGGATTGGCGTCAAAGAATACTTCTTATGCACACCTGTAAAAATAATGAGATTTTGAATTTTAGAAAAATATATTATAAAATGGTGACACCATATTTTCTCTAAAAGACAAAAAAAGAGAAAAAGGAAAATAAAATGTAAAACCACATTTTCCCTTGTAAAAGGGAATGTTCCTGGTTAGTAAGGGAAGAAGGGTAGATCTTGTATCCTGATGAGGAAACAATGTCTTACTTTATTTGTTCTTCTAGTTTCTGGGAGTTGATATTATTTTGACCTTCTGGGTATTCATAGAAGTGCAACCCAATCCTAGATCCGCAATATTTGTGAGAAAAAAAAACCCACAAATAGTCTCCCTGATATGATTAGTTAATGGTTATTATTATTAAACTCCAGAGTAATTTAAGGAAATTATTGGATAGTATTGGATGCTAACCTTTGGACATAATAAATGCAAAAAAAGATATGTCAGATAGCAAAAGTAATTTAATTAGATATTGAAATTCTACACTGCCAATTTCACCTGAGTCACTCGGGGTCATTTACAATAAAAATACAGTGTTAATACCTAGAAAAATGAGGAAATGGTTTACATAACAATTTTATTGTTAGCTTCTGTATTCTTATCAACCTTGATATTTCCTTCTGAAGAGTTGAAAGGACTACCTGAAAGGCTGAATTATTGATTGATTTGTTTGTTGTGTATCAACATAAAGTTCCCAAGATTCTCATGGTGTCTCCTCTTATCTGTCAAGGTCATATTCTTATTCCTCCTCCAAGATTCCTTGACAACAAACAAACAAGCATAAAATGAGGAAGGCATGGTGAAAGCAGGAAGAAATCAGCTGCAAAAGCCAAACTGCTGAACTGAGGTTTTGTGGTTCAGACATTGCCTGAAAAGCTATGAACAACAGGCTGCTCCTGGTCATTGCTTTTCTTCTCTGCCCAAGCTGCTCTTCTCAAAATGGTAAGTTAAGAAAAAGAGAAACCAAGGGGTTACTAAGGAAATCAGTTTCTGCTGCATTCATTAAAGGAACAGTTACTTTTAGCAAAAGCAAAGAGTTCCATTTTTCATCTGTGGCTTTCTGGAAATTTGTAATAACAGATTGTTTAAGAATATCATAGACTTATAAGTACAATCCTCTTCTCAAACACAACATTTTTCAGCAACTTATTTGTGAATAGAAAAATACTTTGCATTAGTATTCGAAATTCACACCCATTTTGAGGGACTTGGTCTGAATTAATAAAGAACCTGCTGTGATAATAACCAAGTGATTATCATTTCTAATAATGTACTTTAAAACTGGTGTAAAAGTTTAGTCTTTAATTTTATTGAACTATTTTGTTTAATGGTTGATTTTACTTATAAACAAAAAAATCCCCAAATTTGAAATGAACAGTTGTAAAAATGGAATATATTTATGGATTATATTTCCCCACCATGTAAACATTTAGATGCTATTATTCTAAAAATATAGATTATAGAGAAAAAGGACTTTTCTTGGCAATAAATCCTACTGAAGATTTCAGACTTAATTTTTTCTGGGCCTATATAGAAGGATATGTTAGTACTACAGCTATCCATACTTTCAAATCCACAAGAGGGTATTAACTAAACAGGTTCTTTTTCTCAACACTTCCCTATAGATGACATGATTTTTATGACAGCCTCTATTAGTGCTCTGGTCTGCCACTATAGCACATAATGTCTGCATAAGAGCATTGATCACACAGGGGCCATGTCTGTAACATTTTATACAAAGGAAATGAGTCTTCATAAGTCAGAAGTTTGAAATGTTAGAGATGTATCTCAGGTTTACATCAGGATAAGTACAAAAACAATTGGTAGATATCTCACAATGAGAATATCCTTTAGGCGAAGACACAGAGGAGTAATATTCTCGTTACAAGCTTTGCTTATATTGATACTAATTGAGCCTTTGAGCCAGTCATTTATTTAGCACTGTTTCTGTGTGCATTTTAAAAATACTATAAACACGTACAACCTGAATGGATGCTCATTCAAACATATTTATTAGTGTCTTTTGTAATCAGTCAGAGATGCTGATGGGTGTTTTCTTAGTTTGGAATATGGCCAAAGTCTTCAATCTTCATGCTTTCATGTTTAATAGAAGGAGGAACAAATTGTAATGGTCCACCCAGGATTGAGAATGGGGATATTATTACTTTATCTGAGAAGCAGTACAGATCTGGCTCTTCAGTAGAATTCAGATGCCAAAGGTTTTATGCCATGGAAGGCCAGAAAATATCTTTCTGTGACAATGGGATCTGGACAAAAGTGCCCATTTGCCTCGGTAAGTAGAAAATAAAATCTCCATCCAATTTTCATGAGCAGTTCTAAGGATTAGGATCCATTCACTGCTTTCTTTCTCTCTTGCATAAAGATAATTTAATTGGTCTTGTCTGGCAGCAACTCTCCTTTATATACGATTTCAGTTCTAAATCTGAGGAGAACTGGCTAGTAGGTGAAAGCTAAATTCTATTATTAGACCTTTGCAACAAGATTTGGATTTGCATTTGGATCCTTCTCTAACAGATTTATTCTCTTTGAGATCCCTGTATGATTCCCACGGCTGAACTGGAAAGGCAGAAGATAGAAGTTAAAGATGGAATGGATGCCTCTGAAAATATATTTGTTCAACGTGGACATTCTATAGAGTTGATCTGTAGAACAGGATATGTCCTTGCAGCAGATTCTTCCCAGTCAGCTTCTATAATCCATTGTGATGGGACAACCCCTTTGATTCCTAAATGCAAAGGTGACTCAAAGGATTTAATTTTACAAACCATAGCTAAGTTAGTACAAAAACAGTACATAGCATCCTTGAGAGTTTTTCCAAAAAGATTGCTCATTCATCGATGCAGGATAATATATCTGCATGGCAATACCATTTATATAATTGAATGGTATAATACAGCTCACATCCATTGTTGAGCTACTATATATTTCTATTTTTAAAGAATTTATAACTGTTACCATACCAAAATCTAATTTAGTTACTGCTAGAGAATATTGCTTTACTTCTGATCTTGGCACTATTAGATTAGTGGATGCCTAATGAGGGACATTTTGCATTTCTAGAAGTTTAATATCTCCCAGAAACAGTAGTTTCACCAAAGGCATCAGAAGAACATTATGGAAATATTTGTTTGTTTGTTTATGCATTATGACAGTTGCCTAACTGATAAGAGGATGCCTAATGAGGGTCATTTCTCAATTCAGGCAGTTTAACATCTCCCAGAATCAGTAGTTTCTATATAGGCATAGGAAGAACTTCATGGAAATGCTTATTTGTGCATTCATGGCATTTCTCTATCATGTTTTTCCTTGTGGAACCAAAGAATAAAAAATGCACACTTATACACACATGCCCTTGTAGCTCTTCAGTCACCTGTAGGTGAGGAGAGAGGCTAAAACCCTCATCTTAAGGCAGCTGATCCCAGAGGAGGGGAGCTTCAAGGAGAAGACCTGATACAATTTCCTAACCAAACTGATAATTGGGGATTCTTAGTGAAAATTGTCTTGCCATTCAAGCAGTGGTTATTTGGAAAATTCAGTGTCATAGATAGCCCATTCTTGAACCATATCCAGCCTTAAAGGTAGTGAGCAGCTCCTTGGATTGCATCCAGAGGAACACTGGTATCCAATGTAACTTCTACAGCAGTGCTGTAATAATACAGAACTAAGATTACATAGCAAACATGCAGTATATTGAATTCTAGATCAGCTGACATTTCCAGGGTTCACCCAGGACAATCCCAGGAAGAGCAATTTGATTAATTACATGTTGTGAAGGTGGTTTCAATTCTCAACAACCACATAGATCAATTTTCTCCAGGACAATCTATCCCAAATTTGATTCTTTAGACCAGAGGTCTTCAAACTTGGCCCTTTTATGACCTGTGGACTTCAACTCCCAGAATGACCTGTGGACTTCAACTCCCAGAATTCCTCAGCTGGCTGAAATCCACAAGTCATAAAAGGGCCAAGTTTGAAGACCCCTGCTTTAGATCTTTCAACAATGCATCCATCACCACGGTAACTGAGCCCATCTATAGCATTAGGTAAAAGCTGAACCATTAAAATGTGGAACTCCTAATTTGCAATTCTTGAGGAAAACAACACTGGGATTGACAGTGGGACTGAATAGCAAATATGGAGATATCACACGGTAGTTTTACATTTTAATTCAACACTAAACTGCAGAAGAAGAAGAATTATAGCAACTTGCTGAAATTTATTTACGATCTTCAAAATGAATATCAAGGTACTAAAAGCAGTTTTAGTCAGGATGGCTTATTTCACAGTATATTTTAGGTATCAGTGGAAAGTTTTAAATTAGTTAGTACCCATCAGTGGCTGCTGATTAAAATTATCTGATGGTGCGATATATATATTTTCAAAATAATAATATTGTTTTTTCTGTGCTGATACAAAGCAATGCACATCATGTGATACAAGCTCAAGCTTTTCTTTTTTCAATATAAGATATGATTTATTTTCTCTAGAAACTATATGCAACTCTCCAAGAATATCGAATGGCTCTTTCCGACCTAAAAGAAGTATATACCGTGACGGGGATCTAATTCAAATTCAGTGTAACAGTGGATTTACCTTTGAACCAGATAATAGAGGACAGGTGGTTGAATGCACAAAAAATGGGTGGTCACCTCCATCAAAATGTGTCTGTAAGTAGAAATTGCATACATTACTATGATTTTAGCCAATTTAACTCTGCACAAGCGTAATTTTTCACATTATTTTACATGAAAATCTCTCTCTCTCTCTCTCCCTCTTTCTTCAGGGACAAATTTCACCCAGCACATTTTAGCAGATTTTGCACATGTCTAAAGTTCCGATTTAGTTGCAACAGGATACTGTAAAGGACAGACTTGAAAGAAGGATGTTCTATCAGAATAGAATAAACAAGATTGTACAATTGCATTCCCATTCAACTTGAAAAGGTTCTAAATACATACAGAATAGGTGCAAGAAATGGGTTTCAACGAAGTGTGGAACATCTGCTTATCAAACAAACAGACATGAATAACCAAAGTTATAGGCAGGGCTTTTTTTGTCATAGAACGCCCAGAATGGAGTTCCAGCACCTTTTTTGGATAGAACCTTATAGGGTAGGTTGTATGACCTCTGTGAGTTCTGGCACCTTTTTTTTTTTTTTTTTTACAAAAAAAGCACTGGTTATAGGCAAATTTACAAGCAGATAGGTACACACATCTTACAGTGGAAAAATAACACAGACAGTAGTACTTCTCTTAGCAAATGAATAGGCCTATTGTAAACATAGATACAAATTATAGGTTGGTGAACCTAAATTTTGAACTGAAAAAACAGGAGGTCTCAAAGTTGTTAAACAGCTGAAAATGTTACAGAATGAAATGAATAGCTTTTTAGAAAGTGAAAGAAAAAGGCAGAGGATAATTTATTACAACTGCCTTGTTCCAGAAATAAGAAGAATCTCACTTCCTGATTGATGTATAAATGTTTATTTATTTATTTGTTTGTTTATTTACTTACTTATTTATTACATTTATATAGCTGCCCATTGTGTACCAAGTATTGGGTGGCTCACAACCAAAATATAAAGTCCCATCTATCAACAATGAAAAATATTAAAACTAAAAACCTAGCATTATAATCAAAGTTAGGTCAGCTTAGTCCAGTTCTGGGGGGAGGGGTGGAGGAAGCTAGGTCTCAAATGCTTTATGAGAAGTAAAAAGACGTTCCATTGGACAGGGACTATCGTGGAAAAGACAAGCTTTCTAGGTCTCCTAAGATGGCAACATTTAAGGGAAGGGGCTAGTCGGATGCACAATGTATCTGATCTGGTAGAATGGATAGATTTCTTAGGAAAATAACCTAGTCCTATGACATATAGGACTTTAAACTTAATAACTACCTCTGTAATGAAACCAGCTTCAGATATAAATCTGAAGTTGCTCCTGTTGAACCTGTGAAATATCAGTCTCAGGAGACACAAAGACAAGATGCAGTTGAGGCTGAACAAACACAGGGACTCCCTGGACAGCTGAAGAAGTCAGATTTTGATGTAAGGCCTCCAAGTCCCTCCACCAAGCAAATACGATTCCATGAAGTTTCTTCCCCAGCAAGGGAGTAAATCTCTTAATTAGTGACAGGTGGCTACATCCTGATTTAAAAAGCAGCTGTGATCATATTTCATTTGCTGAAAACAATGTCTAAGCCTTGGTTCTATTGTGAGGTTCTTTCACATTTGGTTCATGTAAGAAGTTTTGAATCTCTGGCAATTGGACTGGCTGACAACCTGACCTGGCTCTTGGAACCCTGGATTGGAATTGGACTATTCTTCTGCATGCTTCTATTTAAAAAAAGAACACTTCAGACAACTTCTGGTTCATTAATATTCTTTGTTCACTGTTAATCTCTGCAACCTTGAAATATATTTGCTAAATAATATTTCCATAGCAACCATATTTGAATATGAAATGAATTTAAATTCTTGTCTTTAACTATCCTTTCCTTCCTTCTACAATTTTTTCTAGTAATAAGTATTTCATTCATTTGTTATCTAGAAAGAAAATGAATCAACTACAACTAAAACTAAAAGGGAAGCTTTTCTCTTGTTTTCCCCCTTTTGACTATTTCTTTATGTCCTTAAGCCTTTGACAGTTTATAGGCAGATGGTCTCTCTTGTTTTGCATTATTGCATTTTCTTTGCCATTATTTTGCAGAATCCACCAATTCTCTTTTCTCTAAAACTTTAAACAATCTGCATCCCCATTAAAGTATTTATTTATTTCAGAAGTTATCTGTAAAAATAATATTTCAAATTTGACTGGGTTTCCAATTTATTTATTTATTTATTTATTTATTTATTTATTTATTTATGAGACTTATATACCGCTTTAAGTGCAAGCACTCTCTAAGCCAGTGGTTCTCAACCTGTGGGTCAGGACCCCATTTGGGGTTGAACGACCATTTCATGGGGGTCGCCAAACAACGCAGTCTGCCATTTTTTTCCCCTTTTCCTTAGCTGTGCTACTCCCTTTTATTCTATTGGCTTTTGAAAGCCAATAGAATAGACTCTCTTGAATAGAGTCTAATTCTATTGGCTTTCAAAAGCCAATAGGAATTGTCCAGGCTGTCTCTGCCCTGCTGAGCCCGCCAAGAGTCCCATTCTGCAAACGGTGCTGCACCAGTTGAGTAGTCCTCGACTTACGACCGGTTGAGTAATCCTCGACTTACAACCGGTTGGGGGTCGCGGCATTTAAAAGGTTGAGAACCACTGCTCTAAGCGGTGTACACCAGTAAGCAATGTATATATATATATTTACATTGCCCCCAACAATCTGGGTCCTCATTTTACCTACCCCGGAAGGATGGAAGGCTGAGTCAACCTTGAGCCAGTGAGATTTGAACCGCTGACCTGCTGAACACAGTCAGCTAAAGTGGCCTGCTGTACTGCACTCTAACTGCTGCGCCACCTCGGCTCGTATTTATTTAATACTTATATCATACTTCTGACAGGTCTTTTGCTGGTGACTTTAAAGTCTTAAAATTGTTATTTCTTTTCTTTAACCCAGAATGAAGGCTCACTCGTGAAGTGTTTGCTGTTCTGAAAAGCCCTTTTAACTTTAAAATAATTTTAATATGAATGTGCTTAAGTGAACCCAATGTCCTTAAAGGTTTCATTTTGTTACCTTGGTTGTTCTTCTTCCTCAGGGTTAGTTCTAATCAGTGTTGATTGAAGGAAAGGTGTAGCTCACAGGTCTTACTTTACAGCTTTACAACTCACAATATCACATGAAGTGTCGCGACATATCGCAATTTCTTTGGCATTTCTGGCAATGGAGTGGGCGCGGTTTCAGTATGATGCATCCGGCCCACGGGCTGGCAATTTGACACCCCTGCTTTACAGGTTGCCTCAGTGCTCAACACTTCTGTTTAATATCAACATGTAGACACTGGGTGAGGCTGAAGGCATTTCATTTGATTGTGAAAATAACTGAACAGTAGATGGCTTTAAGATTGATTTTGGTCCATTCACAGTGAGTGTGATAAAAGAGCCATTTATTCAATCTATTCCTACCTGAATCCTATTAGGATGAAAAATGAAATTAGAATTACAGAATGTCTTCTCTAATCATTTATGTTTGTTATCTAGCATTTCTTTTTATTATTATTATTCCATTGATTACAGAGAATATTCATGAAAAAAAATCTCTGTTTGCATTTTATAGTAGAAATAACTTGCCAGGCAAACCCCATTGAACATGGAACCATATTATCTCCAAAGTCCATTTACAAGGAAGGTGAGAGAATACAATTCTCATGTAATGAAGGATACAGATACGTTGACAGACCAGATGCCTTATGTACTAAGAATGGATGGAGTGCAAAACCTCAATGTACATGTATGTATATGTTGCTAATGGTCATGGTTACTCTGAAATCTTATACACATTTGATGCATAGGATTGCAGCTCCAATCTGATAATTTAGGGAAGGAGCCTCTGTGTGTTTGTATTTGATTTCATTTTCACCAGAGATACTTATATATGACTTGAATAACAAGTATTGTCTTTTTCTGACCCATTTTTCTTTTCTTTAACGTGCAAAAAAATGCTGTTTCAGGTTTTCTCTGAATTTATGGCTTATTTATATTAATGCTGATTGCCTACCGTGGCTATAATTAGTTTTAAAGGAATAATTTAAAAAGTGCCACTAATTCTATAATTTCAATATTGTTACCAGCCATGAAAAATAAAAATCTGGGGTCTATAATTTCCTGAAACTTGTGGAACCAAACTGCATTCTATATTGTCTTCTAATTTTAATTGATCAGATTTAAAATGTCTAATGCCTTTCTTCAGAAGATCATTCTTCTTCTTTCTTCTGAAGATCATTTGGGACAAGCATTTATTTCTGTCTGTAATCTGCCATATATAGTCTGAGCCTGCAATAGAGGTGGGGCCAAATAGGAACGAATGTTTCATGCAGCATTCCTTGGACAAGGGAAATGTAATTAATCAGGACAGACATCTTCTGACTCAAAGTTTAGAAAAAAGCACTTGTTTCCTTTAGGGACAATTTGGGTGATAATCCCACAAGGGAGCAACACAAGCTATTTTTGGAGGCAGAACTGAGCCACAGAAGAAATTCTATTTCAGATCGTGTTTTTCTATACAGCTTCAGATTGTCCACATCAAGGAAGTGATTGCCTGGCAAATATTTTTGAGGAAGGCTCCTCTTAACAAATTTCAGTGAAGGTAGTCTTAAGCTTCCTATGGAGTTGATTTAGCCCAGCCATCTGATGAGGACTGAACTGAACTGAACTTCATATGAATCAGAGAAAGTCCCACAGCATGTGTTATGAGCAAATTGGAAAAAAAATCATAAAACAAAATAAATTCTATAGCTCCACTTCAAGGTTTATAGCATGAGGATCTCGCCTAATTTTGCAGTAAATTAGTCTTCTAGGCAATGACTTATTGACCATTTATCTCTATTCATATTCCTCCATAGAAATGCAATGTCCTCCTCCAGAAGTGACAAAAGGCCACATTGAACCTAAACGATCGCAATATATGTACAACGATACAGTTGAGATAACCTGTTATAAACAGGTGTTTTTTACAAGAGTCACAAGAAAGTACATTTCTAAATGTACTGCTAATGGTTGGAACCCCCCTGCTCTCTGTAAAGGTAAGCAGCTTTTTTTTTTATTTACTTTGGTTTTAGCTTCTTTCTAGAGCAGAAATTGCTTTATTGTTAATAAATGATAAATTGATTTATTCACAATAATTGTTTATGAAATAATAATGTTAGCTGGAGACTAGTTTATTATAATTAGCAGTAGTAATAATAACATTTCTATAACTTTTCTTCTTGAAAATGTTCTAAAGTCCTTTAAAATATTCATAAAATTGTTCCACAAAAAGCAAGGAAAAATGTATTAAAAGCAAATTAAATAGTAATAACCTTATTCCGTAGCATGATGCTACTGTACAGAAGACTTGCTTCATGCTGTCACTAATCATAATCCATAAGCCAAAGCCCAGGGGAATACTTTCCTGAATATTGTAGGGACCCAAGAAAGTGATTTAATCAGAATGAGTCTTTGAAGAAGCCAGATCCTGTCACAATCAGTAACAGAAAGCTTTTGCTTTTCTTCTTTGCTCAGCAGAATTTAGATTACATTGGAGCACATACGGAAAGCAAAAATAAATGAACAACGGCTGGACTATGTTATACACGAAAAATGGAGTATACATAAAAGATTACACTTTTTATCCTTTCAGTTTATTTTCTGAACTAATAATTTAACACATAATACATTCACACAGGGACCCCTACTTGCCCAATTCAGGATCTGAACCTGAGACAGGCAGAAGCATGCAAACATGTGTTAGGGAAACAGTAGGCTGTCCTTGCACCATGCACACAGGCTGCATGGATATGCCCAAAGTACTCCCTGTTGTTTAGTACCTAGTGGCTGTGTCTTCCTCAGCTATACAAGTCAGCATTTTTTGGGAAGTTTGTTTCCCAATAGATGTCAAGGTAAGAGCTGTGGGGGAGCAGTGGTTAGAATGCCAGAAATTTGATTCTAACCAGCTCAAAGTTGACTCAGCTTCCATTGTTCCGAGGTTGGTAAAATAAGGTCCTAGATTGTTGGGGGCAATATGCTGACTCTGTAAATCACTTAGAGAGGTCTGTACAGGTAATACTTAAGCGGATATGTAAATCTAAGTGCTACTGCTATTGTTATAATTGAAATATCCTATTCAACTTGCAAAGTTTGCAAGCAAGTTAGTGGCAGAAATGTAACATTGAAAGTAATGTGGGAGAAGAGAGTAAGGTGAGTGTCCAAGGGCAAGAGGCATTCCAGGCCAATTTAATTTTTTCCTTCCTAATTAGTAATTTTAAAGAAATCTTTCAGTCACCATAGACAAAGAGGAAGTCTTTTCTAATAGCTATTGTAATCCTTTAAAACCAAAAATATTTTTGCTTAGTGTTCAGTTCATGCACTTCAGTTGGAATGTTCACAAAGGTTTCAACTATTTGGGGAGTAGAGATATGATAAAAGATTAGTTTCACTTCTTTGTACAGATAACCTGCCACTTGGATTGCTTTTGACCATGAGCTACAAGTCTTCTGAAAGCCTCATGTGACAGGAAGAAGAGTCTACCAGTGGTCTGTAAGACTAGTAAATGCCCATCCAAAAAATAACCAATTTGATAAATCTCTGGAAGGAATAAATAGCTGAGATGGTGCAGTGGTTAGAATGCACTACTGCAGCTACTTCTGCAGACGGGCAAGTTGGGGACAATGCTGTGTATTCATACTCTCAACCAACTGTTAGGGGAGGCCTCTTTGCTTCAAGAGAAACAGTAAATGTAGATGAGCCTATAGGAACACGCACAGTGAAATTTGCTAGCACATGAACAGACCTACTTTTTTGCATGGCACATGAGTAGAATGATTGCAACATTAGGAGCAGAATCACAAGTTGAGGATCATAACTTTGATTATTACTGAAAAGGCAGGCAGAAGGGCTGAACACCCCCCCAAAAAAAGTTGAATGGAAGAGGTTGCAGGAATGAAATGATTAGTTATAAAGAGGGAAAGGAAAAGACAGTAAATGTTTCATGTGAAGTCAGTAAATACAATACAAGGCGTCACTGTGCAGAAGCCATGTTGTTACAGAGAGAGGGAGCATACAACAGGAACCAGAAATGCATCACAGAAACAATAAAATGAAATACAGAGTAGCAAAGTGATGTAGGAAACAAATACAACAGAGATGAATGATAGAGCTGCATATAAGGGAAACTTAACATCCATAACAGTAAACGTTAGAACTCAATCTCAGTCTAGAATAATAGAAACAGAAGGATCTCATGCCCTGGTTGGTTTACAGGTCCTTGAGAAACACAAAGAGCACACTCCAATCTCTATAAAGGTTGTCAAAAGCCACAAAACTATGTGATCCAGAAATTGTTAATGGTGACTTATCCAAAGGTGATAATTGGGAAATTAAAGATGTGGTATAATTAGCAATTCTGATGCTAAAATGGTTTTCTACAAAAATTAAACTTTAAAATAAAATAACCTTAAAGAGGCTACAATCAAATAAAAAATAAATTAGCCAGAAGGTGACCCCGTAGTTGACCTTTGGCAGCATTTTCCTAAAATGCTCCAAATTTCCTGTTTAACCACCACTGAACACAAAATCTGTAACTCGTGAGGAGTTCACATGTCTTTTCAAAAACACCGAATTCTGAACTATTTTGTTATGCTAAATCACAATGAGATATGATATATGATATTATGACAATATCCTTATCTGAATGAATTGTTTAGAAAAAGATACTCTGGGTTTTTGGTGTGTGTGTTTGTGTGCGTGTGCGTGTGTGTGTGTGTGTGTGTGTGTGAATCTGCTTAGATTTGTATCCTGATTCAATATCCAGCTATTGTATCAAGTTACCTAACATGTTGCATGGAAAAAAGGGAATGTAAATCTTTCTGGTCCTAGCGCATAGATGTAGTATGCATTATGGGAGCTCCCCCAAATGGCTGGCAATTTTGGTGAAAAAAAAGTAAAATTCCAGAGAAAATATTGATCTCTGGGCATAACAGCAGTTCTGAAATTCTCTCTGTTGAAAATCTCCTCAAAGATATTAGTGAGATTTTATATTCCCATCAGAAATCACAAGATCTTGCTCTACACACAATTCTTAATTCCTAAGCTAGCTATATACTCTGACCAGCACAATAGTACTACTTTATCTAATGATACCACTTTATCTGAACAGCAAAGTTTCATGATCTTAAGCTTAGAATTGGAAAGATGCACCAATTTTCCTGATGAGACAATCAAATAATTTTCAATGGAAAGATTCATTTGTTAAAGTATTAGCTGATGAAAATGTTTTCTTGTAGGACCAAAGCAATATAAATTAATCCTTAGCTTATGCAATTTATGCAGCTTTTGCAGTTCCTTGAATAACAAGTGAAGAAGATTTGAGATGCAACAATATTAACAGCTGAGGTGAAAGGAATGGGATAAAATATATTGTGGAGATGGAAATAAAGTTGAATTTCGATGTAAAAGAATTACTTGCATAAATGGAAAAAGCAACTATCCATATTGCATTAATATATGTATACTTTACCCTTCTCTCCTTGTTTTCTTTCCACCTTTTATTACCAGCATGAAAATAAAATATTTGTTCAATGAATGATGGCAGTCCTTTTTAAGCAGTGTATGGATGTCAGTAATCTTTAATAACCCTATATGAAACTTCATTGTGTTCTGGAAAATTCATGAACTCTGGATTGTCTGCAACTGTTCACAATAGATCTTGAAGATAAAAGCTTACTTCTAAAAGCTACATTTTAGTACTTATTATTGGTAAAATGGTAATGCAGTTTTCAACAAATATATAGGCCATCTATACATTTTTCAAAATGTACCTGAAGTCAATAATGTAACCTTAATGTATAAATTTTTAGCCAAAGCATTTGATTAATGAGAATTACCAATCATCAGCCCTTCTTAAAGCAGTGACAAGAAAACATTGAAAATGATATTTTAGCACGAAGTGTTGAGTTCGTTAAATGAATAAAATTCATCTGCAAAAATGATTTTCATTTTTTATTTTCTTTGTTGTTGTTAATTGCGAAGTCGTGTCCGACCCATCGTGACCCCATGGACAACGTTCCTCCAGGTCTTCCTGTCCTCTACCATCTTCTGGAGTCATTTAAGTTCACACCTACTGCTTCAGTGACTCCATCCAGCCATCTCATTCTCTGTCGTCCCATTCTTCTATTGCCCTCAATCTTTCCCAGCATTAGGCTCTTCTCCAGTGAGTCCTTCCTTCTCATTAGGTGGCCAAAGTATTTGAGTTTCAACTTCAGGATCTGGCCTTTTAAAGAGCAGTTGGGGTTGATCTCTTCTAGGACTGACTGGTTGGAACGCCTTGCAGTCCAAGGGACTCTCAGGAGTCTTCTCCAGCACCATAGTTCAAAGGCCTCAATTCTTTGGCGCTCAACCTTTCTTATGGTCTAACTTTCACAGCCATACATTGCAACTGGGAAAACCATGGCCTGGACTATACGCACTTTTGTTGGCAGGGTGATGTCTCTGCTTTTTAGTATGCTGTCTAGATTTGCCATAGCTTTCCTCCCCAGGAGCAAGCGTCTTTTAATTTCTTGATTGCAGTTTATTTTCTAAAAATATGTAAATTCTCACAGATATTATAGCTAAGATGAATACATGTTCTTATGCTGATGGAGTTCAATGGTTTCATCATGGCTTATGCCTAAAAAAATCTTTCACAACACTTTTATTCACAGGTAGCATTTACTGTCATGTGTGATGATTTAAATTTTTATAAAGGTAAATATTTCCCTGTCAGTTATATCTGACTCAAAGTTACGACGCTCATTTCTGTTTCTTGGCCAAAAGAGGGAGCATTGTCTGAAGACAATTTTGGTGGTCATGTGGCCAGCATGGGTAATTGCCAAAGGTATGCCACCGAAATGGTACCTATTAATCTACTTACATTTGCATGCTTTTGAACTGCTAAGAGAGCAGGAGCTAGGGCAAGTGCCGAGACCTCAGCCTGTTGCGGGGAGTTTGGGCCTCAAACCTGGGCTGTCAGCATTCCAGGTGATAAGCTCAGCATCTTTAAGCACTGAGCCACACACAGAGTCCTAAAGTTATAACAGTTTATTTAGTGACTGTTCAAAGTTACAAGGGCACTGAAAAAAGTGACTTATGATGGTTTTTCATATTTATGGCCATTGAGGCATCCCTGTGGTCATGTGATCAAAATTCAGATGCTTAGAAACTGACTCATATTTATGACGGTGGCAGTGTTCCAGGGTCATGTGAATTCCTTTTGTGACCTGACAAGCAGGGTCAATGCGGAAGCCAGATTCACTTAACAATCATGCAGCTAATGCAACAATTGCAGTGATTCACTTAATAAGTTCATAAAATGGGACAAAACTCACTTAACAAATGTCTCACTTATCAACAGAAATTTTGGGCTCAGTTGTGGTCATAAGCTGATACACACATACTAGAGATGTAAAATTTCTGGAAATTTTGAAGCCATGAGAAAAAAACGGTGTTTTTTTTCCTGTAAAAAATACACTTTTTGGAAAAATTGGAAAAAAAATCAGTGCAGAGTAGTTTTACAAATTGCGTGAAATGGAGTGTATATTAAAGTATTATGCTTGCAATAAAACAGGTAACGACCCCCTTTCCCTCAAAAACAACAAAAAAGCAAGAAATCATCAAAATAAAAACAATAATCAGATGCCTTCCTTAGCACCAATAGCAAATAAAGTTAAGGTCAACCTCAATATTTAAGCTTTGTAGAAGGTTTATCTTTTGAGTGGTACTTTTAAAAACAAACAAACAGAAGACACAACATATACATGCAGTTTATTCTATCTCATTTTCTGAACTACTGCAATAATTTTCCATTTCTTCCTCTTTATCATTTTTCTCAGAGATTTCTAAAGGCTTTAGGTTGGCATGGACGGAAACAAATTTTTCTACCCTTTCAGAGTTTGGTTTGTTTCTTGATTTGGTATGAATATTACCAATCATAGACCAGGTTCTTTCTCTTGCAGAAGAAGATGCAGGAATCTGCAGTAAGCAAGATGCAAGAGGTGTCAGAGGTTGTATGGTGCAGAGACCTTGCCACCATGTTGCAGGAAGGATATGTTTGCAGAATTCCAGAATGCATTCCTTGCCCAAACAAGCTGTTCGATATTCTGCAACATTTGAAAGTACTTTTCCAACATCAAGTCCTAAGTGCACAGCTTGTTTCATAATCCAGTCAAATGCAGCAGCTGTATTCTCATCACTCACACCACTGCCTTTGAATCTTGGACCCAATAGATTTGCAGCAGCATGTCTTGGATGGCAATAAAATTCTTCCTGTTTTTTAAAATAATGTTGGAATAAGCAAGATCCAGTGTATTGTCCCCTCTGGTTGCAAACTCCACATATTGATGGAAATGTGGCAGGGTAGCTTTCAAATCCACTTGGTTAAAGTCTCCCACTGCAACAAATTCACTCTCTGGGTGAGTAGTTTGTAAGTCATGGATGGTATGACAGAGAACCTTCAGGCCTCTTCTCTGTTTGCATCAGGGGGGATATACACAGTTGTGATAATGGTAACAGAGAATTCTCTAGGCAGATAAAAGGGTCTGCATTTAATGGTCAGAAGCTCCACATCTGGGGAGCACAGACTTGAATCCACCTTGGCATTATTACACCATCTGTCACATATAAAAACAGACACCCCCTCCCTGGGAAAGATATATGAAAGATATAGTTCAGTGGTTTTGAGATCACATCTGCCAGTTCCTTCAGAACCTTACCATTTTCTTGCCTATCTTAACTTGTGTTTTTAATCTGTTTTTTACGGTATTGTTTTTTGATAGGCTGGACTGTTTTTTTTCCCTTTGTGTAAATACGGATGCAAAAAAAGAGTTGAATAGTTCTGCCTTCTCCCTGTTGTTTGTCACCTTTTTGCCACTTTCTTTCACTAATGGACCAATTATTTCCTTAACTTTTTTCTTGTTTTTTTACATGTTGAAAGAAGTTTTTTTTTTTTTTTTTGGTTATGACAATCCATCTGTAAATACTGTAAGGTATAGTGCTTCGCTGATTTTTTTTTCTCACACAGATTCCATTACACACTCTTATTCTGACTCCAAAAGAGGGTTGCTCAAGGAATGTCTGCATGGCAAATGGCATGATGGCCGTAATAATTTAAAAGCTTCCTGCCAATATGCATTTTCAGTTATTGAAAATGCTGATTTAGAAGCATATTTTGCTCTTGCAGAGGGTGATCATTTTCTCCTGATTTTCATTTTATCTATAAACAAAGGTATTGTGTATTTTTGTGAGGCAGTTGTTTGCAACATTTCCTTACCTGAAGATACTGCTGGTAAAGAAACACTTCGTGATTGTTGAAAGAAAAATCTTCAGGATCCATTTTGACTGGGAATAAACAAAATGGAGGCTGCTTAGGAAAAAAAAGGTTCAGTTTATTGAAGAACAGAACAGCAACAACATGCAGTTCTGGGAAAGCTGACAAAATGGAGCTGGAAGGGGTGAGTTTTTATACCTCCTTGGGCTTTTGTGTTTGGAGTTGTTCCTGTTTGAGGTTGTTCCTGTTCCTATGCTATGAACTTGGTATTCTAGTGGTGGTGGGTTAATCCTATTATGTTCTAAAGGTCATGTTTTTAGAATTTTGGGTGAGGGCATGTAGATTTTTAGGGGTCTTTGTCTTTCTAATCCCATCAGCTCCAAGCTTCTTGGCTCCTGTCTTTCTGAAAGGATTATCAAATCTACAGAGCTGGCCTGCTGAGTTTCTGCTTGGGAGAGAGGGAGAAGTTTCTGCCTTTTAAGATTTTCTCCCATTATTCCTTTGAGAAAATATAACTTTCTGCCTTTTTAAAAATATCCCCCAAATATTTCTTTATCTGGGGGAGGGGGGGGTTTGCTGACTTCCTACATGATGATCCAGAAGCAGCAGAAAGAATGTTTCTGGAATTAGAACTTTGTAAGGAAAAGATACTTGCAGGTCATCCTTGTAGCATTTGGAAAATAATATTTCTTCTCACAATATTTGCAAATTGCAGCTTTGCTCTCAGCAGAAATTGCACTGTGGAAATGTTTCCAAAGTCTAGATGTTGGTCTCACCATTTTATTGAGAGGAGTAAAAGAAAATCCAATTTACTGACCACACTATAGGTAAACATTATGCTGTGATGATGGAGAACATTAATAGGAATTATTTAAGGGTTATAAAAGAGAAACTAATTTATCAGACAAATTTACTCTCTTACCTATCAGTTAAGGCCTGTGAGGGGGATAGAAACTATCATCTACTGTATAGGAACAATTACTCAGCTGTAGGAAGTTGGAAGTACACAAGCAAACTAGACTGGAGCCTTTTCCCTGCAGTGCCCCTTAGTGTCACAAATTCATATTTCTCTTGTTTGAGATCTGCATTGAGAAGTACAGCATTACTTGAATTGCATTCCAGGATTTGCTTCTCTGAGAGAACTTGCAATAATTTAAGACTTTACAAGAAGTCTCAGAAATCTTTCATTAAGGTCTTCATGTTATATAGTTTGAATACCATTTCATAGATATATGTTCTTCTACCCTGGCAGTTGATACTATTTTGTCCTTCTGGATATTCGT